AAATGGAGATTCTTTATTTCCTAAGTTCGAAAATGGAGAACTTTGATTCTGTGAATTAGCATTTGAATACTTTCCAAATCCACCTGCGGCCTTGGAGCCATTGGAGCTTGTGGTATTTGTGCCAAACCCGGCATTTCCAAAGTTATTATCATTCTTGGATTCAGATATATTGGTACCAAAACCAGAGGAACCAAAACCAGAGGAACCAAAGCCCGAGGACCCAAAACCAGAGGAACCAAAACCCGAGGAACCAAAACCAGACGATTTCTTTGATTCTCCAAAACCGCTTGACCCTAACGGTTCAGACACCTTAGAAAAGCCCGATGAGCCAAAACCTGTAGAACCAAAACCACTACCCGCACTAGTACCTGTACTAGAAGAGTTGGATCCAAACCCACTTGAGCCAAATCCAGTTGAACCAAATCCAGTTGAACCGAGCACAGCACCTGATGAAGTGGATCCTACCTTAGACGTGCCGAATCCCGACGAACCAAAGCTAACTTTATCTTCTGGAAGATTAGATGAAGGCTGATTTATAGATTGCTCTTGATTTTCGCCACTAGACTTAGCGGAATAATTAGAATTAGATACCTTGGTATCATTGATGATTTCTTTTTCGTTAGCTAGTTTCGTTGAGCCAATCACTACTCCCTCCTTTAAATGATCGAGCGCCCTTTCTAGACTTACGTTTTCATTTTTCAAACCGTGAACGTCAAATATCCACCAACTTATTAACGTCCCTTCATGTGTTAGGCACCAGAGCCTTGGTAAACCTTTCGCTTCATCAATGCCACTACATGGTTCTGGAACAACATATTCAAGACAACCCAACTCAAGACCAAGACCAATTGGCGATGCATCGTCACCAGTATCATCGTTAATGGGGAATTGGGCTCTATCAGAGTCATTTAGTTGAGTGATAGACTCAATATTTCCTTCAGCATTCATAAAAAGAGTGCTGATTTCAGTTGCCAATGACGAAGTAACAAATACTAATGTTTGTCCTGGAGACCAGTTAGACAAAGACAGTAAGTAATAGGTACCAAAACGTGCTACCGATCCAAATGGTGGAGCTATGTCAGTTTCATAGAATTCATATGTTTGTTCATCAGTTTTTTGAATGATGTATATTTGATATTCGTGATCTTCTGGTTCTCCTTCTCCTCTGTCATAAACAGCAAACCATTTAAAATTCGACTCTAATTCGATAAAGCTGATTAAAGTGACTTCTGTTGGGTCAGACACGGCGGAGTTTTCAATTTTAAACTGAACATCACCGTTGATAGTGGACACAGCAGTCACATCCGCAGACGAAGGAGTGCCGTAATATATCGTTTGTCCATTTTTAGCCCAACAAAACGAAGAAACACCAGAATGTAATATTCTAGCAACCCCGGCATCAATCACGATTAATTCACCCGAATTATTAATTAAGCCAATAGCATCAGGCGACCCAGGCGACGGATGAATCGCCTTGACATTATGTATATATTTGTCTTCAATATTTTTGATATCCTTGAGGATTCCAGGTTCCAGTTGGGACATTTCGAACTGCCCCATATCGATAAATTTTAGTTTTCCATCCACAACCACATAAAGCTTCGACTCATCGCTATTGAACGTCAATTGGGATACATTGGTCAAATTTTCAATTCTTCTCAATTCATGCCCCTCTGCAACCTCTCCCGTTTCAAACAACGAGAGTTTATCCAAAACTATGGACGTCATATTGGAACATGCAAAATATCCTGTCAAGTTCCCAATTGACAATAAATTCAAATCATTTTTATCTCCTTCCAGAAAATCTATCGTATCATTGAAAATGCGGATACCTTCGGGTTTGGTCGAAAGCTTGAAACCTAAGTCTTCTGAACTAGTCTCTTGCAATGCAGTCATTTTCGTCGACTAATCTCCTATATCCAAACCTTTACCTACAACTTCTGATATCTAGTTAACTAACATATCCATACCGATCAAAAAAACAAATCCATCAGCGGAAAAATCTTGGCTTATATACAGTCCCATACTTAAACCTGGTTTGGTATAATCAAGAACCACACCACAACCAAGGTATCATGGTAAATATCTGGGACGGAGAATATAGAAGGGAGATACAGTAGTCGTTTTCTACAAAATTGGCCAGAGGAACGGACCAAACACGCTCTTGGAAAGTGCGTTCAACGAGTCGTTGAAAACGGGACTAAAAAGACCGTTGGAACCGTGGCCATTGTAATTGGCAAGACAGACCAATCGTTAGCCCGATACTTTCTACCTACATAAGCAAAAAATACATAGAGGTAACAAGCCGGAAGAACAGAATTGGGTAATGATTCCGTGAATTAGTACTGGAAAAAAAAAGCGGGTTCGACACGTGATCGGGATAAAATTCATCACCGAAAGGAACCCCAGTCGTAAATTAACCACTATTAATCAGCAGTTGTTATCAATACAAGGGTACAAAGCTATGTTTGGATCACCATTTGCTAGGTCAAACGGCCAAGGGGTGTCGTCTCCACCATCTCATTTTAAGGATTCCGCCAGAAATGCTATTTATCAGCAATTATCTCCACTGGTGATAACGTCGACCAGTGCAGCGTCCATACGATCGGCACCTTCACAGTTCAAGAACTCACATAATCACGTTCTGCAACGTTCACTGGCATCAAGTGTTTTCTCTAGCAACAAGAGATCTGTACGTTCGGCTCCATCGATATACTCGAGCTCCACAGCCACAATACCAGAGGACTCGGAGCCCATTTCTACTTCTGTGGAACAGCTAGTCAACGATATAGCGTTGCATGAGAACTATTTTTATGAACAAATGCAAGAGAAAATGCGCCGGGGGTCTATGACGAGTGTGGATGAGATGGACGATAGCGATGATTTATATAAGATTTCGCTTGGGTCACAGCTCCAGTATCAGAACGTCCCGGAGTCGCTCATTGATTGGAATTTAAATGTGACAAGATGTAAGTTGATTCTTACTCACTTGCCTTTGGTGTCGTCTATACCCGACTTCAGCTACTCCACGCATTCATTACCGCAGATAGTGGGTGATTTGGCAAATATGTGCCACCTTGTCCTAATTCAACCGCACATTACTGACAAAGAATTGATATATACGTTATTTTCTTCGAATATTTACCAGGAGCACAACTTAGATTATCAGTTTAAGAAATCGGTAGCGGAAATATCTGTCAAGCAATCGCGCCTTCTACAAATCAACTCCCCCAAACTGAGTATTCTGTCACCGATCACGTCGTCTGACAATCAGAGTTTTTTGAAATTCAAATTCAAAGAGATCGCTATAAGAAACTACCTAGTTAATTTGGCAGCTGCGGCTACCACGGCTTACGAGTACAAGGTGAAATCAGATAGCATTAAGAAATCATTAAAAATGGCGGATAAAAAGGGTAAGTTATCGAAGGATGAGAAAAAGAAGTTATGGGAACTGGTAAGACTGGATGTATTCAAAAGAGCTGGCTTAGAAGAATAATCACACAATGCTACTGTACATTTGTTAAATAATACTTTGTATATTTATACCATATAGTCATGATTAATGAATTCATATTAATTTAGTAATGCAAAATGAGAATATTAATATTTCTTTCTCATACTTTTGACCTTCTTGTAATGGTTTTTACCACCACTGGTTTTTTTATCTTGAATTTCAGTATACTTTCTCTTGAAGTATTTCTTTCTATCAGAATCATTTAAGACTTCCTCAACTAAAGTGTTTCCTCTCTCACGTCTAGACATTCTCGCAGAATAGAATTCGGTGTTACCTTCTACAACAGTGCCCATTTGAAAGAACTTTGGTATTTCCCATTTATCTTTTTTATAATGTCTTTTTGGATCTAATGCGTTTCTTTGTTTAATAATAGACAAATCTCTCGTTATGCTAGGAGTCAACTCTGGCTGTTTCATATTGAACCATTTTGATCCTGAGTCTAATTG